AAGCGGTCCGGAAAAACCGTTCAATAGATCGATCTGCCCATTTACGGAGCTTTTGGGGGTACATCGAGGTGTAAAAATTCGTACAAGCATTAGACTCTCCATCGATATTAGCAAAGATGCGGTCGACTTAGCAAAACAAGTCAAAATGTCACTTTTTTCACTTTTTTCAAGTTAATGTCGAGGATGAAAGAAAATGTTTTTCTTCCAAGAACGCTACATAGCCTTGTAGGAATTTTATTCGAGATTTCGAAACTGCCCGTCTATTTTCTGTCTGATCATTAGTTGCTGAGATGTCGATGGTTAAAGCCAAAAGGATGCTTTTGTATTCGTAGTCGAATATCTCCGGGTCAAATTAACGTAGAGAAAAATTTAAAAAAAGAAATTAAAGCTGAATGAACAGGCTATCAAGTCCATATCATGATATTTGTGTAAAAAAATGTTCCAAGCCCGTAGACCGAGAAAAAGAACGCAAAAAATTGAAAAAAAAATTTTCCGTCTTATTTCTTAGAATTTCGCGATGACTGTCGCTCCTAAAAATTTTGAGCTAAGAAATCTGGAAACTAGACATTAGGGGCTTTAAAATAATTTTTTTAAAACCTTGATACGATCATTTTTAACTGAGATAGCATTCTGAAAAATCACTAAAATTTCGAAAAATTTTTTTGCTCCCTTAATTTTTTGTAGAAGTTTATATACGACTAGAATGAATGAATCCCGCCTTTAGATTTATGACGCCACTGATTTTGATAATTTTTATGAAGTTAGACTACAATTACCAAAGACAATCAGAACTTTGAATAATTGATATATTACGTCATATAATTAAGCAGTATTTAGTACAACTGAGTACAATACATTAGGAAAACAAAAAATAACAATATTAAGTTAAAAAAAATATCAGTCCCCCGAACGTAGAATGTCACAAAATGAATAACGTTAATAAGCAACCACCACGCAATTTTTTAACAGAGAAGTAATACCAAATACAGTTACAAGAAAATAAAAATGAAGGAGAATGGTATTCGGATACTAATACTACACACGTTTAACAACAAACCATAATTTTTTCGTATACGAGTATATATTCAGAGTTGTCAGTATTACAGGTAACCATAGTACAGCTATAGTTAAAATCTGCAGATCACTTTTTCTCAGAGTCTGTAACTAGTATTTGCTCTGGAAGAACCTTTCAGTTCGTCACACACTCCTTGTTGTCGACTCGGCTAGCCTCCCTCTCCTTGCATTATCGTTCATAGCCGCACTCGAACTACAAATGCGAACTTTATTCATACTCAAAAGGACCAAAATTAACGAATTAAATGATTGATTAGGATATTATGTATTTAGTGAATGAAATGGAATCCTTACAATGCTCCAGTTCTTTTATAGTTGCTTGAATATTGAATGACCTCCGATTATGATGGATTGTCATTATGCAGAGGCGTTCATGACGATTTTTGGAAAATGTTAGACATACTCCATTCTCCAGAAATCCGCTATTAGTTCCTATATGTGTTACTATCAACGGTCCCCCATTCCATATGGCGTTCTTGCTAGTTGTACATTTTTCACATTTCCATCTTGCCATATTCTCTTCACTGTATATCACTCACTAAGCCATGTTCCGTTAGTATAATACATTTTTCTTCTTGCTGGTGATATTTTTTAATTTTCTTCAGATAATCTGTTCTCAATATATCTATATCGCATCTGCCAATAAGAAAACTTTTTTGTCAACTTTCTCGTACTGAAAATTCATAATATGTACGACAATTGTTCTCAAATTATCTTTGCCAAGGACTGATTTCTTTTTCACCTATAACCTGAATTACTTCTTCTAGTACTAGTACTGAGAATATTCATCAGAAACGAATACTTATTTTCTTTTATTAACGGAGAATGGATAAACCGAGTATTGTGTTTTTTTTTTGCTACAGACACGTTATTTTTAAGGTTGAATATGATTGTGATAAAATTATAATGCATGTGGAGGGGTAGTTTGCATAAAATTTATTGTTTTTTATTGGTTCTAATAGGTTTATCAAGTTTTGTAAATACATCACTTTTTATGCAAAAAAAAGAATAATCTTGTTGACTGTCACCAAGACCATTTGCATTATTTTACTTACTATGTTTAACACTTCTATTTATTGTAAATTGTTTTGTATCTACTACTGCTTTGTATCAGTAGATTTGTCAATTAAGATGTTACATGCCATACTTTGTAAATTATATCTCACCCACACTCGTAATTCACAATATTTTATTATGTCTCGTCAACTAAAGTTAAAAGGTAAAAAAAAACATTTTTCAAACTCTATCACCACCATAGATTTCATTATTTGCACAAATTCTAGTCTTCTTTTTCCCATTCAAATTTATCGGAAACAATCGCTCTTATCGATGCGCAGCAAAAGCACCTTTTTGCATAAAAAGAACAAATCTCCTCGATTCTTCTAAGAAAACTTAAAAATTCATTGAGATGTAAAATAAAAAAGTGAACATCCACAGTATGCTACCTTTACACATGTTTCGTTCTAAATTTATCAACAATCTTTTGCTTTAAACATAATAATTATCGGGTTTTCCCAAAGAAACTGAAAATTATAGAAAGAACAAACAGTGCAATTTTTCTCCATAAAAGCTGCCGTTTTTCACGACTGGGTGACCAGTGGGAGGAATTATTATTTTAAGACAAAAATTTGTAATATAATTTTGCTGCACAACTAAGCAATAACAAAACAGCGTAGTGGCAATGAGGAAAAGGGGGAGTGGAAAATTCATGATACTCAGTAGTATACTCCTTACATATATGGTTTTTCCTGTCTCCTTTAGTGAGAATAGGCCCCTCTAATTAATATCTTTGAGGAGCACCCTTAATAAATATGCATTTTCCGAAAAATATTGATAAGTATAGGAACCTTTTTACTATTTGAACAAAATCTAAATAAAACTTATAAACTATTCAAGAACACTCTGTATACACTTGTTTGATACAGCAATTGTTTTAAACATATTATTGTAATTAAGTCGTATTTTTACATACTTAAAAACTTGCAGTTTTCAGAGTGTTCAAATAAATCAAAAGTAATTAAACTTTCTTAATTTTTTCCATCATAGTTAGTATTCCAAAAAAGTAGGTGGATCATTCGTCGACTGTTTCACCTATTGATGAGAATACGTTCAACATCGGTATATGTCTGGTGGATCTGCTGACGAATGATCGTAACTGTTTACTATAGTACGATCATTTTCGATGCAAAGTAATAAATCATTGCCTGTCAAGGGAACCAATGAAGTACGCCTTTAAGGGTTTTACAAATTGAATAATTTATTTATACATTATGTAGGGACGAGGGGATCAGTTCAGGTCTGGCACCCTTGTTGCTACAAAGATACCTTTATTCTCATAAACTATTTATTTAAAATGTAATTTATTATAAATCCAATTTGTTTCCTAAATTCCACATATGTACTACATTTTACCTCTGTACGCGCCACTGTTGTTTACTTGTTTTTTGGAAGCGCTCTCTAATTGACGGCAAAGCTCGCCAGGTTAGTATTTGACGTATAACCGTCCAGTTCGTACACTCGATGCACCTGGGCGACTACAGCTACTACCAGAACACAGTGCGTATGCAGCGGTATTTCAGATTTTGCATTGAATTTCATTTTAAATTTGAAATGATTTACCTTACGCCTCCTACAAATGATGACACGATTTTCCTTTGATAAAAGGCCGACAATTTTTTGCTCTACTTTGCATCGTATACGATCCTACTATAGGTAGGGTCAGTTGGGGTAATTGTAAACGATTCTAATAAAATCAACTTTGATAAAGTCTAAAATTTGAAGTTTAACAGTTGTGAAGATAACCTTAATATTGGACATTCTCTGGAACACCTTCTAGAATGCGTTAAACGTGCAACTTAACATTGTTAACCGTTACCGAAAAAAAGGGTGTGTACAATTACCCAGGAAACAAAAAAATTATAGAAATATTGGGGCAAATGTAAACTAACTATTTATTGTTCTATAAATTCTAAATTCTATTGGGGTTGCAAGACGGCGTCCTGCAAACTCATAAGCTTTATGGTATTTTTTCTTCGTTTAATCCTTTTATATATAACCGCAATAGGAATATTGTCAGTCTCCCTGCCTGTCCTGTTTTATTGATATTGTGTACATCATTAACAGCATTAATAAGATCCAATTCGCTGTATCTTTCAATGTTCGGTCGTTTCTTCTGATAATTTCGCACCATTGTGTTTCTGAGAGTATATAGAAACGCGTTTACAATTACCCCTTAAATGTTTTTACAATTACCCCGTTTTAAATTTTATAACGGGGCAATTGTAAACACACATCTACTATGAATTTGTGAAGCCTAACCTAAAAAAGTAACGCAGTTTCACATTCATTCAATAATGAACGCTACTATATAAATAAATTGCCTTATCTTTATCAAAATCTGATTTATGCACATTTAAAAAGCAAAAGCAAATTCTGCTTAATAAACTTTTGAGTCGTATCTCCGAAAAATAACTGCCACAAGCAGAAAACCAACACAATGAAATCGTTATTGCTGTACTATAACAAAACATAAATCCACATGTCACGGATGCCGTTGTACGTCGTTGCTACCCGCCAAATTCAAAAGTTATGAAGCTTGTTTACAATTACCCCTGTTCACGATTACCCCAACTGACCCTATTGCCGGTATTATTCAGTAGTGGTCGGGCCAATAGCCCACGTAGTAATATCTCGAATATCATTTTTTTGAGTTCAGCCTCAAAAGCACCGGACTCCGAGTATGAAGACAAAACTATCACTATTGTTGTATAAAACTGATTTCGCTAACTAGCTTCACTAAGTCTAGAAAATTGCAGCGGTATACCTCAAAGAATATTGCGATGTGGGGTATCCACACGGCGATGCACCTTAAGTTTATTTTAAACGTATTTAATTTCTTTATCTTACATCTTTTTTTTGTGTTTCAGATTGGAGATCAGGTCGTGGCATTGCCAGAATACAGAGCTTGGGCAGAACTGGTAGCCGTCCCATCAAAATACGTATATAAGCTCCCCAAGGATTTGTCCCACTTAGATGCCGTTACCATCACGATGAACTACACGGTAGCCTACATCTTGCTCTTCGAGATCGCTGGCCTAACCGAAGGAAAATCGATCCTCGTGCACTCCGTTGGAGGAGGTGTGGTAAGTACCACTTTAACTATTCATGGACAGTGTGAATGATGATATGATTACATCGCCGTAAGTGGATCTCGAGTGAATTTCCTTAGCAAAAGGAGTTGCTTTTCAGAATATAAATTCAGAATTATTACAAAAGTGTAAATTTTATGTAAAAGTTACTTATACATGTTTTTTTTATTAAATTTTACCTTGTTGAATCTGACGTCACATCAAAGACAGGTAATATTCTTATGTGCTAAGTACAAAAAGAATGTATATGTCGCAGGATAATCGCAAATTCAGTCTTTGTAAAATGCCTAGGCGTTTTATATGACGACAAATTGTAAAGTGATAGGTAAATACAATTTTTTTACAATTTAATTGAAAAATTTTTAGGCATTTCATGAAATAGCAAATTATGTCATTGCTATTATAGTTCGTACAATATTGTGTAGAAATATAGAAATTTTTTAATTCTATATAATAATATATAAAAAAATAAATGATAATTCTTACATTTCATTTTTATTTCATTTCTACAAACTTTAAAATATGTATTATGTTACTTATTTTAACAAGTTCTGGGTCTTCTAACATCTTGAAACCCAAGTTGTTAAAGTGAAAACAGCAAAAAATACTGCTAATTTACCTTGTTAACTAACCTAGAAACTAGAAAATTAATAATCCGCGCCTGACTTACAATTCGCCTAACTCGAGAGCAGTCTCATTATAATACGTCTGAATATGTTCAGTTTGTTCTAGGCGCAATGAATGGCTTTTGCGTTCATTTTGCAATGAGACTTATTATTCGGCGTTTTCGGCAAATTGTAAAAAATTGTATTTATACATCAGTTTACAATTTGCCTACTATCAAAATAAATGAAATAGACCCCTGAGTTTGGAAACCGATATTAAGAAAACGTATTGGCAAAATAATTTGAAATTTGAACCATGTATAGCCCCACTATTATTCTATTGTGTGCTAAAATTTCAGTTAGTTTCGTTATCCCATTGTTTAGTTAATGAAAATGTTGAAAAAATCACGGTTTTCTGCCTACAAAATTGATACCTCTCAGTTTAATTCGTCGTAATTTTTTTTTAATTGATAAAAAAATTCCAAATTTTTACTGACGATAAGTCGAAATATTGTCTTTAGTACTGTGAAGATCATTTGTCTCAAAAGCTCTTCGTTTTTATATTTTTAAACAAAACAGAAGGGAGTGCTATCTCCGTAAATATTGCATTCTTTAAAAAAAAAAAAGAAAAAGACACTCGAGTAGTAAATAATTGTAAACAACAATCTGAAAAATTTGTTAAAATAATACAGTTATAAAGGCTATACCGCATACCCTGCATCAGACCGTGAACGTAATTGACCATTCCGATACTGTTTTTAAGAATATCATATTTATAACTATTATTTTAACAATTTTTTTCAGATTGTTGTTTACAGTTATTTACTACGAAACTAACTGAAATTTTAGCACACAATAGAGTAATAGTGAGGCTATATATGGTCCAAATTTCAAATCTTTTTTGCCCCTACGTTTTCTTAATATCGGTTTCCAAACTGAGGGGTCTATTTCATTTACTTCGATAGTAGTCATTTATAAAACACCTGGGCATTTTATAAAAAGACTAGATTTGCAATTAGCCTGCGACATAGACAATAAGTACTACATATGTATTATTTAATTATTGCATTTAAAAATGTATTTGCGACAAAAAATTCGTCTTATTTTTTATTTATTCAAAATTAATATGTGTGTTAATATTAACATGCTCAAAGAATGTCTGTTTTACAAAATACTCTTTCTCAAACTTTATGCTATTAAACTGCCTATTAGAGGACATGTTTTGGTATGAGCTAAAATTTAATTTACTGACAGTCGTTGTGTGTATTTTTTGTTATCGTACATTACCTGATAAAAGATGTCTCTTAACATTTTTTTTATTTGGAAATTGTTATGTAAGGTAATGAGCGAATATTGCAAAAAACTCATAAAATTAAATTGCAATGGCGTGCATATTATTTTTTTAAATAATTGCCTACACGCACACAACTGGTTTTTGAGCATACGTTAATATACACTTTTTTTCATAAAATGATTCGAAATATTTTAGATTACTTGGGAGTCGTTTTATATTTATAGCTTATTTTATACTAATTTATACTCGAATGTTTTTTTCTTTGTAATAAATTGAGAATCAAATGGTCTGATCGAAGTTGTGGATGTTTTAATGAAGTTGTCTTCCAAAATCGTCAATGGTTAATATAATTATTGTGTACAATTGCATACAATTTTAACTGTATTTAATTGTCACTAGCATAACTTGTATTAACCTCAACCAATTTTGGGGATATTTGAGTAGAAGTGATATTTTTCAAAATATTTAACATCATGTATTTCTAAAACTAAACCATTTTAAAACATACACTTACGTGAACTTTTTTTGTAGAAAAAATCTGTGTTATCGGAACTGTACTTAAGAACTAGTCTGTATAGGTACAGTTAAGTTTACAAATCAATATTTATTCATAGTTGTCATTCACCATTTGCGATAAAGTGAATATCCTTCTCAATCATTAAGTAGACATATTGAAAATTGTAGTGAAATTTAATCATAAGTGGTGCCTGCCAAAAGGACCCCCCACTGTATGAAAATGTTGGTTTTTGTTTTACTGACCAAAAGTTTCCACAGGACTTGGATCCGAAAATCAATTATTTTCTTCTTATAGGAGTCTGAGTTTGGTATTTGGCATATTTCAAAAATGTTAATTAACAACTTTTCATCCGATTCATTTTTTCTATAAACATTTCACAAATGTTATTCTTTTTATTGAAATATTCAGACCGTTATAAGTAGGAAAAAATTGATTTTCAGACCCAAGTACTGTGTAGACTTTTGGTCAGTAACGCAAGACCTACAACTTACCACTATTTCAACCAGCACACATTTTTACCGAGCCCACATTTTTATAAAGACAGTCCAGGGTCCTTAATGATTTGCTTTTACATTTTAAGTTTCATTTTTGCGTGATTAAGAAACGACATCGTTTCTACAAACAAAGCCTAATTGACGACACAACATAAAGGGTAGTCACGATGCAGAACGACGACCTTTATTTTAAGTGTGTCCATATTGTTCTTCGCCACCATATGGAAGCTATTCCTGTTGAAAACCCTATGTTTTCGTGGCCACATTTGATATGGAGATCGAATATACCTGGCGAACAGTGCGTGTTTAAAAAAAATACGTGGTCCTTACCCCGGGTGGCAACAGGTCGTAGGTGTCCCGTCTGCGGTGTATTTGGCGCCGCGACGGCCGGCGTCCCACGGTCTACTCGATTTAAGATTCATATCGATCGACCGGTGAGGGCGCGGCGCGAGACAGCCGGCCACGCGGCGGCGGTGTCTGGAGTTACGGCGGGCGCAAGGCACAGGCCGTCGCCGCGGCAGCCTGTCAGTGACATTTGCATTTCATGGCCCGCTAAATATTAGAATGGGCTTGCCCCGACGGGGAAGTATTTAAGGGTGAGGGTTTCGAATAATTGGATGATGGAGCAGATGAAGTAATTTGATTATTGGATTTCGGCGGCCGGTGATGTGATGTCGAGTCCGGCGACATCTGGAGACATTCGCTTTGATGAAATATTTCACTGTTAACAGGGTCATTCCGCATTTTCTTTTTCATTTCTTTTTCGGCATTTCATAATTTTTTAATTTAATGTATTGTAGATTTACACTTAACAAGCTGTATTATCGACCATTGTTGCTATTCCTATTCGTTCATAATTCTAAATATCATACTTGTTATAACATGTCATACCTTGTCATAACATGTCATAACTTGTTAGGATTGAGTGCTAAAATAGACAGGATGCTCCGCGAGAAAATACACATTTTACTAGGGCGGCACGTTTGTAAACGAAAAAAATCGTATTTTCTCAGATTTTTAAGTAAATTACGTAATAATGATTGCACGCTCAATTGTTTTTCTTCTATAACTGCAGTTTTTCAAAAGTGCCATAAACTTCGATGGCATTGGTACACTTTCAAATTTTAGAACCCCGTAACTTTCGATAGGAGAAATATATTAAATTGTTTTATACCAGAAGACATGTTGTTAGTAGTTCTTTCAGCATGCCAAATATCAAAATTGTGGTAATTTGAAAAAATGCCATTTAAAAAAAGTTGGTGGCCAAAGCTAAAAGACAAAGCTTGGTTATTTTGCCTTACCTCTGTTTTATCACTTAAATTTAAAGACCGGCATAGAAATGGGCAACTTTGGCCACAAAAAGTGTTTTTAAAAAAAAATTTAATAAATTTTAGGGCCCATGGAAGTAAAAAGAACAAAAAAATTAAATTTTTATTGTTTATTTAACAAAAGTAATTAAATTTTACAATAAAAAAAAAAATTAACCCTTTGAGAATATAAAATAAAAATATATTCTATATAAACATTAAATATACATAAAAATAGCTTATTTAATTTATTTGTCTCATGGATTGTAAAAAATTATCTCTTGAAGTGTTGCGGTGTATTAATGACCTCTAAAATGTCTTCAAGTTTATACCAAAGGACATCTTCAGACGAAGGCCGCGCCACTTTTTTCAAACGATTTGATCTTAAATGTTTTCTTATTTTCTTTTAATTTAAATGAATAACTTGTCCTGAGTAAACTTGGTTTGCATATAAAAATAAAACAAAGTTTCCATTGTTAATATGGTCAATTGTCTTGTTGTCATTGCTTGGTGTTGTCAGATCTTGATTGGCAACTTCCCCTCACCAAGATGACCTTGATCGGCAACTTCCTCATCAAGGTCACATAATCCCTCTACCAGCTAGGAGTAAAAGTTTGACTCGATGGCGTATGAACAGAAGTCTGCTAATGTATAAGTCCATTTTTATATAATTGGCCAAAGCCACCCAAGTTTACAGTATTTTATTAAATAATAACAGAAAAACTTGACGAGGTTGATATTAAAAAATAATTACAAATAAACGTAAATTAAACTTAA